AGTGACTCAAATAGCCTATTCTTTCAGTGATTCCAACTGGTGAAGACAACCAAATTGTCCTAGAGAGGTAAATATCAGGTAGCAATTGCATGCTTGTGAACAGCCCAATACCTGGGAGCAAAACATGTTAAACCAAGGCAGCTTTGAAACAGCTAACCTTGCTAACACAAAACAAGCAAAAACTGCACTCGTGACTGCAAAACAGTAAAGAGCCTATAAATTCTTGAAAGAGCAAATATTAAACTGCAAATTTTCATACAGTGAAAAAAAAAAGCACATTAGATTTTTCAAAGCAAAAAATCATTTACATTATGCATATGAACTATATGATCACTATAATAATATTAGCATGCTTGTTCATTTAACACAAGTTTTATTACCACAGCAAATAATTTACTTTCAGTCCTTCTGTCGAAGGATATTTAAAATGCCAGTTCAGGGAACAGGAAAGAAATAGCTCAAGAACATGTTAGTAATACCTTTTGAATGAGATGGGAAAAATGCCTACTTGGTTTTGCAGGACATTACGTGGCTAGCTCCTTTCAATTCAGTATTTGTCATTTAGATGGAAGGCTGGTATAGAGCAATTTTCTTGGTTTAACCGTGTACCATTGCAGACAGTAACAGAAACAATAACAAAAATCTGACAACTAATACAGAAATAATTACAAAAATCTGAGAACTGCATAGTTAAAAACCTAGACAGAGCTCATAAATAGTGAAGCCTATGTATTGTAAAAGCAATTTCCAGTTATTGGCAAACACAGGCCCTGCCTTCTTCTGTTCTTCTGCATGTGTATTCCAGGATTTCTAGTGTTTAACTCACACAAAGCTGATGACAAAATAACAAAGCAAGTGTTTTACATGCTAATGGAAGCATCGGAAGTTTTTACAGAGCTGAAATTTAGGAAAAGCCTCAGGACATCTTGTTCTGGTGGCAGAATGAAGACTTTATATGTGCATCAGAAAAAGGAAGGTTCAATTTACAATTACGGCTGCAATACTATCCAAAAGCTTCAGCTAAAGATCTGAATTTTGTAATCTTCTCTGTACCTGAAAAAATTTGCCTAAATCCCTGCCACTTTTAGATGGTATAGACAAGAAGCAGGTCTTTAGAAACAAATAAGTATTTGCATATTTGGGGGCAAAAAAAAGACATAGTAAAAACTATACCCTTCTAAGAAAGCTTGTATATTTTGATACACTTTCAATTTCTTCAGATGTATTGATTTAAGCTTTCTGGATTTCTAGTGATATATGGATGTTGCTGAAGGTATAAGTTTGTCAAATTTTATTTTTTGTAAAAAAAACAAGGATGAAAGAAACAAGCTGATGTTTCCAATCAGTTAACAAACTTTTGACTAGAGTAAGACTTGCTATTCACATTTTCACTGCCCATGAAAACAACTAAGACAAGTTGGATTTAAAGCAAAAAAGCTTTAATATTGCATCATTAATAGAATGCAGAAAAAAGTAGCCCTTTACAAGAAAAACACAAGTAATAAAGACAAACTATGAAGAATGATCAGTGAGAATATAAACAAACTGCCTTTTTCATTCTGAAAAGTCTTTTCTCTTCTCAGGGCAAATAAATTCACCCATTTAAATTCAGATGATAATTAAAAACATATTAATGATCACAAACAACCAAAGTTTAGCTCAGCAATGCAATTTTGACTATTTCTTCACTGTTGCATCTTTAACCTCCCTACCTACTGACTTGTTGCTCTTCTAGCTGAAATACAGTTTTCTGAAATTTTGCAAAATTGCATTTATATTTATTTACACACAGGTTGCAAAAAAACCCCCTGAATGCCCAAAGATTAGATGTATTTACTAAAAAGGGCTGGTGACATTTTGTAAATACATAATATGGCTTTATTTACTGAACACTGGGTTTAATGATTCATATGAAACCTTTCTTTTCCTCCTTTCACCTAGTTCTTCTTATCCCTTTATTTCTCTGTCATCCAAACAGCTTTCCCTTTTTTTTTTTTTTTGGTTTTTTTTTGGTTTTTTTTGTTGTTTTTTTTTAAGCTAGCACAGAGCTGAACCTATGAGCGAAGGCTTCAAGATAGCACCCATGTATGCATTAAAAGGAGAAGAAAAGCTGCAGTTCCTACACAACACACCTTGCCTGGCCAGTTTGGAGGGGTCTGAAATATTAAACTCTCAGGATGGAGATAAAGAACCAAGGGCACCTCATTCATCCTCATTGTCAAAGGAAACAATCTGCTCCGTAACTTTGATCAACATCTCTCAGTTTCTTTTACTTTTTTAACAGACAATTTCTTCTTGATTTTGCTGTCAATTATTGCTCACATCTTTCTCATCAGCAATGTAAGGTGATCTAGCTTTATCAGTTTTTGGTAACTGCAGCAATGGTTAAAGAACTGGGTCGGTTTTAATTCTGCTGTACTTTAACACAGCTGTGAGAAAAGGTAGACAACACCAACTCACTTTGGTTTACTCACTGCTTATTCCCAGAATATTACCTACACAGTGTAAAAACAGTACACTTTCAAACAGCAATTTAGATCCTATAGATGCTGTTTTCCTGAAACTTTCCTACTTGCCATGGGCAAATGGGTTGGTAAGTGTCTTCAGATACGTGCTGCTTAAAAAAAATGGTAAATCCTGCTTGCTTTTCTTATTTTGTTGTTTTATTCATTAAATGATGAGAACAATTTCCCCTTTTTCGTTTTTTGTCAGCTCAAATAATTACATTATTTGCATATAAGCAAGACTTTACTCAATCTGCTGTAGCTGAGGGTCATAAATATATGTCTCAACAGTAGCTTTGAAACACCTTGGAGCCACAAAACCATTTTCCTGAAATCAAGCAGCATTAATCCTGCAATACCTCTAAGACGAAGAACATTTCATGTATTTTGCAATAGTAAAGCACTTGTGAATTAGGCCTTAAAAAAAAAATCATATAATTTCTTCAGACATCAAAATCCTAAGGCATTTTTCATGATTTCCTTAGCCAACAAGTTTGTCTTCTCATTCTATTTAGAAGTTCACTGGGAAAAATCACTTCACAGAGACTCCTTTACATAAAGAGATCTGATTTTTAGCCTATTTTGTAGCTTTTGAATTTTTTATTTTGCCTTTTTAAAATAACCAGTAGAGGGCAATGTCCAAAATAAGAAAATTAGTCCACATAAATGGACATACTGACATTACTCACAGATCATGTAAGCAACAAAAAGCAAAGGGTGAGCTAGTCACTAATCAGCTCCAAATAAAACCCTAGAAGAAACAGTGTCAGACGGTATTAAAACTGTATCACATAACAAAAACTGAAACATCACTGAAGTTAGTATCACTCCATTTTCTTATATATTTGTATGATGAGATGTGATCAAAGAAAATTAGTTCATTCAATAACTTCACTTGTTCTGAATCAGACAGGATCATAAACCAGGTTTGTGTTAAATCAAAAATACTGACCAGAATGTGAAATCTGGATTACTATCACTACTTTTACAATCCATTTGTTCCTATTTAGTAAGTGTCCTGTTTTCAGCTGAGTCAATTTTCTTTCTATTAGCTGGTACAGTGCTGTGTTTTAGATTTAGTATGAGAACAATGTTGATAACACACGGATGTTTTTAGTTGTTGCTGGGTAGTTGTAGTGTCTACACAAAGTCCAGGACTTTTCAGCTTCCCACACCGTGCCAGGTGCACAAGAAGCTCGAGAGCACAGCCAGGGCAGCTGACCCAGGCTGGCCAAAGGGATGTTCCCCAACATTAATGTCACGCTCTGAATATAACTGGGGAAGCGAGCCAGGAGGTAGGATCGCTGCTCAGAAACAGACTGGGCATCGGGGGTTTTTTCCCTTCTGCATGTGGAGAGCAATTGCATTTGTGCATGTGTTTTATTATTATTGTTGCTGTTATTATTGTCATTACTATTATCATTTTCTTCCTTTGTTATCCTATTAAACTGCTTTTATCTCAACCCATGAGGTGGGTTTTTTTTCCATTCTACTCCCCTTCCCCTTGGGGCGTGAGGGGTGAGCTGGCAGCTGTGTGGCGCTCAGTTACTGGCCGGGGTTAAACCACAACAGTAAGTCTAGATGAACTAACTAAACCGGCAACTAAGAGGTATTTTAATCTGGCCAACACCGGTGTATTATCTCAGAGGTTTACTATGTTTGTGTACTGAATCTGTAGACCACCTGTAATCAGGTCAGCAAAGAAAACAGAAAAGCTTTTTATTTTGTCTTCTACAAGCAAGACCCATAAAGTTTGATACATTGTGGGTGGTAACTATTTTTTGCCCTTCACTACTTCCATAGAAAACTGTCAGAAGGAGTTCACGCATTCAATGAAGAAGTGACTTAGTAATATACTACATAAGACTTATATTTAAAAGACAGGCAAGAATTTTAAGAAAAGGTTAAAAAGCCTTGGCCTTTACAAAACTGACAGATGCCATCCTCAGAATAAGAAAACAGAAGCCTCTGTTCTTGAACCTCCAGACATTCTATAACATCCCAACAGAGAACATGGGAACAAGTGAGTGCAGGGCCCTTCAACTGGAGCAGTAATGAAGGACTTGAAAGGGTGGAAGAGAAGGGACACACCTCAGCTCAACTGAAAATACATTTAACACACTTCTCTGACCTAAGTGGGAAGGGGTTACTCGACCTGCTCTAGCTCACTCAAAGAGGGTTAAGCTAAATCATGGTACTTCACTTCTGCCGCAGGCTAGGAGTGCGTGTATGTTCAATTACCACAGCTCAACTGATGGGTGGTAACACCACTATGAAATTGAGTTATGTGCTCAAGACACATTTAATGTTATAAAGTGACAAAGCCATATTTATAAGTTTAGTGCTTGCTAGCAGTCACAGCTCACTGTCATTCAACTAAAGTAATCACATAACTAAGGATATAGCGATTGGGTCTTTCAACATTATATTTGATCATATCCCTGTATTGCTCAGTATTCTTAAATTAAGTTTTTAAGTGTTTTGTCTTTTACTCACTGACTGACTGATTCACCTCCAGTCTTGACTCCTCCATCTGCCTCCTCGTCAGTATCAGAATCAGCTCCAACCTTGCCTAGATATACACAGTTTCAAACATGAAAATTTAGGCAGGTAATATAATTAACACTATATAGTTAGGTTTACTCTTAATGATTAACTCTACTGCAACCAGCAGAAGAGGGGTTTTTTTCCAGGTTAAAGCAGATGTTCTAAAATTAGATTTAATAAAACCCAAAAACCTTATTTGTGAGTTTTCTGCTAGCCACATGGTTGGCATTTTTCAGCTAGATTGTATTACAGAAAAAAAACAGAACAGCTATTACTAGTACAATACTATAAGCTCTAAAAATAAAGCACAGGAGACAGAATTAATAGAAGGTAGTCCACAGCATTCAAGACTTGAATGCTCTCATTTAATTGAAAAGACAGCAATGTGTTTACAAATAAAATCTATAGCACTTAAATATCAAGTAGAAGTTCAATAAGATACTGAAAAGCTGGAATGTCATATCCTTAACCAAAGTATGTGAACTGTGTGTCTCAGCAGAGCAGAGGGATCCAGCAAGAATCCTTTAACTACACGAAATATTCCAGTGCAATTGCTAATACAACTGAACTGGTATTGCAGTATGTCAGATTTCCCCTGCAGAAAACCAGGAGGGCACTGAATATCAGCTTACCTAAAATAATGGATTTCAAATAACACTTCTATACTCCTAGCTTTGTTTTTTCCACCAAGTCAAAAGCTTCGTTTGAGTACTAAGGAAAAGAAGCTTATATTACAGTTTTCTGAATGTGTCCCTAATTGCTTCTAAATCAGTGGATTTCATCCAAGCTTAAAAGATCAAAACTAGCATATATTTTTATACATATATATACACACACTATATATACTATTAGCATGTGTATATATGTAACGCTAATATATACGTATACTAATACATATACACATATACACACACATACATATATATTTGTGTGTGTGTATATATACTTAAATATATAAGAAGTAGGTAGAAAATGAGTGAAAAATCCAGTTTAGAGGCAGACTACTCTCTGGTGTGCAGTGGGGCCTAGAAATTTCATTCATACCTTCAAGTATCTTCAACAGTTTTTTTTCAGATAACAGCTCCAACTGCTCCAAGCAAAGCCTTTTGATTTCGTCCATGGAACAGTTCTAAGAAGACAGATAAGACAGACCACGAGCTACTAAAAATTTCTGAGGACAGAGTAATTATGAACGGTAAGTAGTACTCCAACTGTACCGAATGAAGAGTTAACTCAGATTGCAAGCCCCTTCCCTATTCTGACCTGCACTGACGCAATTGAAGACCACCAGGTAGGTGTTTCAGTTTTGACAACTACCAAAAACAGTGTGCGTGTTGTTTTCTGAAAAATTAAGCAATACACACTATCAGTCACTTGACCTATGGCTTGGAGTTTTCACTGCAGCTCTAATACTAAGCAGTAGAAATACTGGGCCATATGTGTGAAGCATGGAACAGCAAACAACCATAGCCCCGATCACACTCAATTCTCAATCACTCAGAAGCAGGTGGATTACATAGTTAAGCCTGCAAAGCCACAGCTGTCGAATCCAAGTTCACAAACTGAAGCAAACACTGCTATTGAGAACACGCCAACAGTTGTACATCATAATGAAGAAAACATAAGAAATATGTAAATTGTGATCCATTTCTCACGCTTGATACATAGCTCACACTGCCAGATTTTATGGGTATTCTAGTTACCTTCAAATCTTTCATACTACTTGGTGTCCCCTTGGTGAAATAAAGTGATATTCGCACACTTTCAAATGAACTATGATACCACATAAAAGTAGCAAAATAAGAAAGTGCTGAGCATACTGTAACATTCTACTGTAGATTTGGTTCTACACCACCAGGACACTTCCTTTCAAACTCAGTAATGCCTTTGCCTCCAGCTGCTCCAGACCTCTTTTATTCTCCCAGAGATGAGAAGTGGATAAGACTGTACACAATTCACTATGTGTTTAAAATTAAGAAGTCCTGCCTTCACATTAATATGGCTCGTAAAGATAAAATTAAAAGACAAAAATGTTAAAACTGTTAATGAACATGACACAAATAGCATTTCAACTGCAGCCTCTTCTTCTGTACAGGCTGCTAGCCTAACTTATTTTAACCAAGTCCTTCAGTTCACAAGACTCAAAAAGCACATGTTCTAAGCCAGTAAAACTTTAGCAATACTACCACTAAAGTACACAGAAGTTAGAACTTCAGAAGCTGTGTATCAACAAGGGGGTTTATTGCCTTATTTCAGACATTAATTTAACACCATACAAAGAAATTCAGCTGACACAAATAGAAATCAAACTTTTATTAACAAATCAGCATATTTATTAGTGAACAACACTACTGAATTTACTCTGTGCAATTATGAAAGTCTTTTTGCATGTAACTAACCAGTACAGACAGATGGCATAAAAATAAGCAGCCTGCAGTTCAGCAATGGCTGAGCAGTGGAAAAAGGAATAAGCTGGAATAACTATATCAAATCTTTAAAAAGTCTCACTTTCAGAGACTTGATATAATCTTTAAGAAATACAGAGGCAGCTTTCAAGCTGGAAGTCCACTAGACTCAAAAGATAGATGTGCTTTGTTACACAAGCGTTCAAGCTTGTAAAAAGTATATAAAAGGTAAGTGTATGTCAGTACCTTTAAAATATCAGGCAGCATCTTCTGTAGTTTTTTCTCCCCTATGACACAGAAACACTGTTGAAGCATTTCTTTTTTGTCTGTGATGTAGAAACTGACTGGTTTGAGTGATACGCTGAGATCTAATCCTCCTTCTTCTATATCACTGGGTTGTTCAGCTTCTTCCACTTTTTCTCCAGATGGTATGTTGCATTTTGCTTCCTGAAATCAAGGAGGGCAAATACAATTTTCACATTTTCTAGTGAACTAGAGAAGAAGGAGACTTACAGCTTATTTTGTGCTTGCAACACTTTCCCCTTCATAATTGCGAAAGATATCTTAAGTTGGACTTCTGAGCTTTCAAATAGTGTTTTAGCTTAAAAGGTAACTGCATTCCAGAAGCTACATTTTGGTTACTGAAACCATTCTAATGCTAGGGGAAATTTTAAAAGCTTCAGGTGGCAAAAAGTACTTTTAAATGTTAACTGAAAATATTATCTGCAAACACCTAGCTTATATACGAAATCATGCCTTAAGGCGGAAGAAATTTGTCTCAGTGATTTGCTGCGCAATTAAATCACTAATCTTAAAATTTACAGTTATCCTGCTACGGAAACTGGCATACAATTCCCTGCATGGCATGGTCTTCTGAGAATAAAAGTGGGCTTCATATCATTAACTATATCTTCCGTACACCAGCGGAACACCTCTGCAGTTAAAAAAACCCAGCTAGAAATACATTTCTACGATTCACCTAGGTGTGCATGCCATGACTTTCCGTAATCGTGCAGCAACACCCCCTAGAACAGACTCCCAACCCTGCAAGCAGAGCACCACGGCTGTGGTGACCTCTGAGCGTGTGCCCCACACCTGTAACGCCTGGGAAAACACAGACCGGACACCCCGGGACAGGCGCGGGGAACACCGCGGGAGCTGGAACTCCCCGGGGAGCACCGCATTGCTGCACACCTCTCCCCGCTGTCCGACCGAGTTTTGTTCTCCGTGCAGCTGTACGCTCTCGAGTGCTGACTGACCGTAACGGGCCCTGTGCTTCCGCCACGGGTCCGG